TGCCATGTAAACTTTCACTCAATCCACAATAAAAACCTTTAAAAAAAAATTACAAAAGGATATGTTCAGTATGATACTGTATCAAAAAAGATATAAAATGTTATGAATATTTTATTAAAATAATTGTGTATATTTATGTTACTAATGGGTATACATATGCCCTAGATGTATATAATGCAGAGGGAAGTAACACATACCAACTTCAGGATATCAACTCAGAGAAGGAGTGGGAAGAATGGGGCAGGGAGTTTAGGCTTTAATTATCTATGGTGGTGGTGGTGGTGGTTTTGTGTCGTGGAGTAGGTTCTGACTCATAATAGGGTTTTTAAGGCTGTAAATCTTTACAGGAGCAGAAAGTCTCACCTTTCTCCTGTGGAACAGCTGCTAGTTTTCAACTGCTGACCTTGAGGCTAGCAGTCCAATTTGTAACTACTCTGTTACCAGAGCTTCTTGCATATATGACTATATATATATATATACATGTTCCATTTAAAAAAAAAAATGGGGAAGAGAAATCTAAAAGAAATTTTACAGAAGTTAAAATCAGGAGGATGTATATATAAATGAATATTTTTCAGATTGTCTGTAATTTTTATATGTTTGAAATAATTTAATAATTGATAGTGGTACTGTAAAATGAAGTCCTAAAATGTTATCAATATTATGGTAGCAATCACAGTGCCCTACATTTTTCTCGTTACCAACTTAGGAAAAATATTTTTTTAAATCTACATAAAAAATACTACAAGAAACCAAAAGAGACCTAAAAAATGGAAGACTATACCATGCTCATGAATAGGAAGACTTAGTATTGTGAAAATGTGGACACGACCCAAGGCAATCTATAGATATAAAGCAACCCCAACTGAAATTCCTACATCAATCTTTAAAGAGATGGAAAAATTAACAGTAACTTTATATGGAAAGGAAAGAGACCTCAAGTAAGCAAAGCATGACTAAAAGAAGGACAAAGGAGGAGACCTCTCATTTCCAGTGCTCAAAATCTGCTACACAGCCACAGTGGTCAAAACAACCTAGTACTGGTACAATGAAAGGCACATAGATCGGTGAAACAGAATTGAGAATCCAGAAGTCAATCCATTCATCTATGGTCAGTTGACCTCCAACAAAAGGCCAAAACACATTAAATAAGAAAGAGGTAGTCTCTTCAACAACTAGTGTTGGCAAAACTGGAAATCCATATGCAGAAAAAGGAAGCAAGACACATATCTCACACCATATCGAAAATGAACTCAATGTGGATTAAAGACCTAAATGTAAAACCTAGAACTATAAAGATCATCAAAGAAAAAACAGGAACAAACTTAGGGGCTCTGATGTTGTTATGTGCCGTGGAGTCGGTTCTGACTCATAGCGACCCTGTACAGGGTTTCTGAGGCTATAAATCTTTACGGGAGCAGAGAGCCTCATCTTTCTTCCATGGAATGGCTGGTAGTTTCGAACTGTCAACCTTGTGGTTCACAGCCCGATTCATAATCACTACACTACCAGAGCTCCTTAGGGGCTCTGATACATGACATAAATATACTATCAAAATGTAACTGACAACACACAATCATTATAATGAAACAAAGTATAGTATTTGTTGAATGTTAAACTGATAATCTGTTCTGTAAACCTTCCCTGAATGCACAAATTAAAAGTTTAAAAAAGAAAGAACTACATGGGATCAAAGTGGCAATAGCAAAGTGGTTAGATAGGAACCTTCAGTACATTGAGTTTATGCTTATTTGTCATGAGGGAAGACTAGCTCAGAAAAGGACAATAAGAATGGTTACACAGCATAAAAAAATAATGTCTATTTGATGATGCATGGAGGGGATTGTAATCATGGCAATGAAACGATGTATGACAGGATGAATGTAAAGCTAATGTTCTCCCATGTAAACTATCACATAATTCACAATAAAAACTTAAAATAATGTCTATGAATTATACAGGTGAAAACTGTTAAATTGGCATATGTTTTTCTGTGACAACAAAATAAATTTTACAAGAAAAGACATTTGAATAAATATATAAAGGAGATGAGGAAGCCCAGATGGAGGAACACATGCTCCAGACCAAGAGATAACAAGTGCAGTACTGACTGTTAGAACCATACAATCTGGAGCCAAAGGAACCTGGAGCCATGTCCTGATTTGGGCTAACCCAATCACTGCCATCAAGTCCATTCCAACTCACAGTCAGGGTAGAAATGAAGGCTGCTTTATCTCTCTGATGGAGCAGCTGATGGCTCAGACCTCGAACCACCAGGTTCAAACCTACAACCTATTGATTAACAGCCAAGCACTTAATCTACTTTGCTACCAAGGCTCCTGGGATTATCGATTTAAAATTAAAACATGGCAAACCCATTGCCATCATTTAGACTCATAGAGACATCATATGCTTCATAAGGTTTTCGTGGCTGTAACCTATACAGAAGCAGAACACCAGACCTTTCTTCCATGGTGCTGCTGGGTGGGTTAAGCCACCAACCTTTGGGTTAGTAGTCACTCTTGGGTTTTCACAAAAGGGACTTCACAAAACTTTCTTGACCATTATCCACAAGAATGTATTATACATATAGTCCAGTATTCACATACTTGAGACAAAACTCTCAGAATACTTCTGTTACATTTGATGCACTTTGATGTTTTCCATTAAATTACTTTTTTTTTTTCTAACAGTTTTAACCACACACCTGAAGTGAGTGTGTGCTTTGTGTATCCTGGTAATAGCATGATGGATGTGAGACTGTAAAGAGTGAGTAAGGAGGTGTATGGAGGTGAGACCAGATCCCATGGGGCTTTAATGGCCATGGAGAGAACTGTGGCCTTTACTAAACATACATGGTCTGACTTGGTTAGTTTACATTATGTCCAAATAAACTCTGACTGTCATCAGCATGAAGAATATGTGCCCTGCCCTCTCCTCAGGGTTTGATCCCACTTACTCCAGAACTCTGCAGGAATAAGAACAATCACTGCACTTCCTTCAGTCTCCTTTTGTTTCTCCTGACCCCTGCACATAAAGCCCCATTCCCAGGAACTGTCTTCATCTGTCTTGGAGTAGAGAAAGTGGCAAAAGGCTTGTCCAGGTGACCAACAAGCACACCAGAATCTAAGTATCCCAGGGTACTCCTGACCAACCTGCAGTCTACAGGTCCACAGGCCCCGTTGCCAACTAAGGGAATCAGAACTACTGAGGCAGGCAAGGATGGGGTTGAGGATCTGGGAGAACTAACAGAGTTATGAGGTGAGATTGAAGGAAGGAACCAACTGTATGCAAAGTCCAAGAGACGGTCACTGCAGGGAGTGGATTCTCCACTTTGCCATATAATCAGTACTCACTTGCACAACAACCATCCGTACCTTTTTCTTCTTTCTCCAATTCATCTCGAAGATCCTCTAAGGAGGAGAAACAAACAGGGTGTGAACATGGGTGTATTTGGCAATGACACAACCTTTTTCACTATTTATAACCCAACTGAGTAATTCATTCCCCAAATGCCCCAGATTTGTCACAACCACTTCTTAACAACCTCTCCTTGACACACCCAGCTACCATTTTAAACTTCTGGAAAGGCATACCCCAGGATCCATGAACTACCAGAAACACACAACCACCACACATACAGCATGGCCTAGGCCCACATCCAGATCCCTACCTTTAAACTTCTTGAGCAACCCCTTTAAAACAAAGGTCTTGAGGGAAACATTCCAGACCTTATTCTTCATCTCAGAAGAGACTGTGGTTGGCTTGGGGCCGGGTACATTGCTGCACCTACAGGACAGGAACCCATGAACACTATCCACTCCCACTAAACAAAACAAAACAAAACCCACTACCATCCAACTCATAGTCAATTCCAACTCTGCGGGACCTAGTAGGGTTCCCAAGCCTGTAAGTCTTTACCAAAGCAAACTGTCTTATCCTTATCCCTTGGAGTAGCTGGCCTGGTAGTTAGCAGTCAAGTGCTTAACCCACTGCACTACCAACTCACTGGACTCTGACAGATAAGTTGGCTAAGTCTTGTTGGAGAGATGTAAAAGTGGTAGAGGCCAGCCTGATATCAGAATACTCATGGCCAAGCAGGCATACACTGGCCTCAGAATGTACCCAGGTAAGACATCGGGGAAAGGAGGTGGCAGAGGATAGGGGTGGTGAATAAAAGAGAGTTTAGTGGAAAAGAAAACAGGCCTCAGAAGCCATTAGGTTCACTCACTTGCTTAGTGTGTTTTTGAATTCCTGGAAGGAAAGAAGGAAGAAAACCAGGTTAGCTTTGAGAAAACAAAACAGGCCCTTTGGCCTCTGTACAAGAGGAATAAGCAATAAGCAGGTTTATTCCCACTCCATATGAGGCAATAGCTTCCCACTATGGCCAGTTTCTGGTTGCCTTATCAAACTTGTGCGTCCCTCAATACTGCCTAAACATCTGCAAATAGTCTCCTTATTGAAGACTCTTCACTGGAGCATCTGTTGGGACTTAGTGTTACCTCTTACCCCTGAAACCATTGAGACAACTCACACCCTTTATGCAATGGTGAGGACTACTGTTCTTGACCCATTAGTAGCTTCTAGAATTAAGTTAATAGATTGTGATGACCACTTTTTTTCAAATCAAATAGGATAGAAAGCATAGTATGTCACGTGTAGTACAGTTAAGTATTATTTTCTGAGACTTGTTTCAAGTATATATACAAAGGGACTTCAAAAAGTTCACAGAAAAATCCGTTCTATTTTAACGTCATTTTTCATGAGCTTTTTGAAGCTCTCTAGAATAACAGATACTCTCCCTAGAATAACTAAAATGCATTCTGTGGCTCATGGTCAAGTAAGTTTTATCACACCCCTTTACCTCTAACCAGGAGAATTAGGGCACCCTCTTCCCAGTCCTCTTGGGTTCTGGACTGTGTGGCTCTGCTTACTAGATCTAGCACTGGTCACTCTGCCTCTCCCAATAGCTTACTGTAAATGGGTCAAGCTCCTGGCAGAGCTAGACTTACCTGAAGAAAGTCAAGGTCAGGTTTGCAAGCTGTCTCCTGGATCTGGCTGCTGAGCTTGCAGAGCTGGGTAATCTCACTCGCAAGTTGGGCCAGATTCTCATTCTGCTTCTGTGTCACTTCTTGAGACAGCTCCTCCAGACGGCCCAGAAGTCGGCCCTCCTGCTCCACCAGGAAGGCCCTCAGTGCCTGGAACTCAGCACCCACCTTTTCTCTTTCAGCTGCCATCTGCTTCTGTTCACACAGGAGAATAGGGTGGAGAGGTGAGGGTACTTGGACATTGAGACATGACATGTGGACTGGAGCCTCTGAGTTGTAACAAAGAGCAAGGTTCCTTATGGGGTTAAGAACATACACACACACATGCACACATCTTCTATTTTAGTTATTCCAACTCAGTGTACTCAGCAGTATCAACATATGTATCTTTGAACCTGGGCATCCATCTAGCCTAGAGCAACTTGAAACTATCCCAGAACCACCTAGGTCTTCAGTTTCCCCATTTTAAAAGTGGGATGAATAAAGGAATGCAAGAGGCTACTATAAGGATTAAACTGAGGTAGCTTTTTAATTCCCCAAACACATGTATCTTGTTACAGCTTATATGTTTACTCTTTACTTTCCTTCTTTTTTAAAAAGAAGCACTCATCTTTTTAGCATTTATAAAGGTAGCATGTGTTCATAATACAAAACTTAGGAGATACAGAAAAACAGAAGGAAGAAAGTTGAAGTGCAGCAAACTACATAATATGACTCTTGTAGCCATAGTCTTTTTGACTCCCACCAAAGGATTTACTGAAACTATGCAACTAAGGTGCTTGTGGCCCACCAAGGGGATTGGATAGGTTTCTAATAATGCAAGTAAGGTACATGATACCCTTGGAGGCCATTTAAATAAGTTGTATGGAATCCTAATTTGAGGACATGTAAATAAGGTGTACGGAGTCCTGGTGTGGCACTGTGGGTTAATGCTCCAGACTGCAAAGCCGTTTGAACTGCAAGGTTGGTGGTTCAAGCTCACCAGCTGCTCCTCAGAAACTCTGTACAGGGTCGCTATGGATCGAACTGACTCGACGGCACTTAACAACAACAAATAAGGTATGTGGAGTCCTAACAAGATGATTGATCAGTCAGTTTTACCACTCGATAGGTTTTAAATGAGTCATCCCAGAGGTGGAAAAGGCAGGGGGACTCTGATGACCACCAAGAAAAAATGGGGCAAAGCATGTCCTTTGGACCAAGTACCCATGTGCTGGAAGCCTTCTGGATCCAGAAGACAGAGAGAGTGAGAGAGATCTGCAACACCTGCAACAGTGAGAAGCAGCAGCAGCAAAAAAAAAAAAAAAATGGTGGCAACAAAGGTAGCAGAACCAGGAGACCAGCAGGAGACGGTGTGGTGACCCAGCCCACAGAACAAGAAAGCTAAGCACCTTCAGGCAGGAGACTTGCTGGCAGAATGAGGGACCTCCAAGTACTTGGTGAAGCTAGGTTCCCTGACCCAGACCAAGAATGAGACAGCTGAGCTCCTTGGGACCAAGGCTTACTGGAAATGAGAACAGGCAGTGCCTATAGGCAGGAAGGAGGCTTGATGGTGTAGTGGGCTGCCTCCAGGCACCTGTCAATGGAGCAAAAGTTTCTGACACCTAGAGCTAGAGAACTAAGAACCTTACTGACAGAATGGGATGCTTCTGTACCCTATCGACTGAGCTAAAGAACTCGGTAACACCCAAGCAGGTCAGAGGCCTATAATGCTTACCCCAGGGGCCTGAGAGGCTGAGGGCACAAGGTACCAAGAGCCAGAGAGAGGCCTGCCTCTGGGCATGGATAATAATATGCTACCCTGATCAAATAACTGTATCCTGAGTTGTTTCTGGTCCTACTACTATTATTTCCCTAATAATCCCCAAAATTGTGAGTATTGTCTGTGAGTTCTTTCTGTGGCTATTGCAATGAAATATTGAACCCAGAAGAAAAGTAGAGAGTGCTATGGGAGGGGTGGCTGGAGGCAGAATTGGTAAAAGGTTGGAAGATAGAAGTATGACTGACCTCCGCCTCATAGGAATCAGCTTTGGGCTGATGCTGATGGTGATTCTCTCTCTCTCTCATGAAGTCAAACAAGGTCAGACTCCTCTGTAACATCATTCTTACTAAAGGAAAAAAGTATGCTGGTAACCAAAGGCACAGCATACCCAAAATGATCCAAGTGAAAATATACATGCCTGAGTAGACAAACCACAAAGTGTAGAGCCAGATATTAAATTTAGAGAGCACCCTTACTTCAACAGCTAATCTATACCTTTCTCCTCTTTCTCCAGCTCATTCTGAAGACACCAAATGCATGTAAGCTTAGGGGTTCCCAAAATCCTCCAGTTTGATCATTCACTAGAAGGACTCACAGTACTCACTGAAAATTATTATGCTCACAGTTACAGTTTATTATAGGGAAAAGATATAGATACATCAAGTCTGGAAGGGTTCCAAACACAAAGCTTCCATTATCTTCTGCCATGGAATCAGAACATGTTAGCCTCTGGTCACTGATGTATAAAATGCAGAGTACAGACAACCAGGAAAGCTCACAGGAGCTTCAGTGTCCAGAGTTTTTATTTGTTGTTGTTAAGTGCCATTGAGTGATTCAGACTCATAGTGACCCTGTATAGGGTTTCCAAGGAGCAGCTGGTGGGCTTGAACTGTCAACCTTGTGGTTTGCAGTCCAGTATTGGTCCTACAGCACCTCACCGGGAGTCTGAGTTTTTATTAGAACTTCATTACATAGGGATGACTGATTGATTGCCCAGGCCAAAGTCCTCACACTAAATCACATGGTAGGTCTTTCTGGTATGGCCAGCACTCTACCACAAGACCCTGCCCTAAACAAAGATATACCTCTTTCAGGTATGACATAGATTATCTCCCAGAAGCTGAAGACAAAGTTCAGGCCTCTCTTTGGGCAAGGCCAAATTGTACACCATGCTGTATTCAAGCTTTATATTCTAAAAGAGAACTTTAAAATGTTTGTGGAAAAGTAGAAATGAAAGATAATGAAATTTTCCCATGAATTTTCTAAAGTCCCCTCATCTTCTTTCCATTAATACCATATGCAGCATTGTTTTACTCCCGTGTTATAAGACACAGACTCACACTCCTGATCCTTTCCTTATTCCTTACGTAAATACACATGTGGTATCCACATGATAAAATGAGCAAAGAGCTGAGGCCTAAAGAAACCTGACCAGTAGCAAGTGAGGATTCAGACCCACCAGGACACCTTCAGTTCCTCTTTCCTGAAAACTCTAGAAAAAAAGACAGACTGGAAGAGGAAACTGTCAGTAAATTTTTAAGTCAGGAAATCTCGGGTTCAAGCTTCTTCATCCTGAGAAAAGGAGTGTCCTCATGTTATTCTTTCTCTAGTTGCCAACAGGCTCTAAAGTTTCCTTTCATTATTTCAACATCTACTTTTTGATGTAGGAACTGAATTTGAGAGCAAAACAAATGACAGCCAGAGACCCTCATCTGCCCACCTTAACCAAAGGAACCTGAACTCACTTTCCTGTTCCCAAGTGCATTTTACTTGCATCCTCTCATGAAATCTTCTTCATGCCACAGTACAGAAGATAAAATATCATCCCAGTGTACTGGGATGCTGGGCATACTCAGCTGCACAGCAGGAGCTGCTGTAAACCCAATTCTCCAAATCTCTTGCTTTCTACTGGGTTGGAAGCAGCTCTGATATGCCCCAAGCCCCTTCTCCCCTGGCCTCAATTCCAAAATATAATAAAGTTTGAAAATGAACATTTTTTCATAGTGCATTTGGTGGCAAAATGTACCCTGAACTGACACGAAACTGTTGTATTTATGTTCCCATCTAGTATGGACATTTAAATATTTCTTTGCAGAAATATCAATATACTCAATCACAAGATGCTGCCCCAAGCCTCTGCTGGGGTGTTATGTAAAATTAGGATGAACATACAACTTGATTCCCTGAGATAGTTCCAGTTTAAGTTAAGTGTTCTAAAGTAATTATATTAGCAGCCTTTTTCACTTTCAAAAGTAATTATATTAGCAGCCTTTTTCACTTTCAAAAGCTCTGGTTTGTGTAATAAATTATATGGTCATCCTATACAATGTGTGCCCCATTATACAATCCACCTTTGCTGTTCCATAGACATACCCTCCAACACCATGCATACAGAGTCAGGGGTGGCAGTTGTCAGGAGACTATGCCCAGCTCACCAGGAGTTCCCTGCTTTCCTTCTCCTCGGTGGACCGGAACAACTCATAGTCCTCCAGTTCCTTCTTCAAGACTTTCAGCCTTGACTCCAGGCACTCCTATGGAAGGTGAGATGAGACACATTCATGGGGAGAGGATTCTGGACTTTCAGGAAACATCCAGAAAAAAGAAAGGTCCAGCCCATTGAAGAAGAGAAGGCCGAGTAGAGTCTCCTATGAACTTCAGGCATGGGGGTACTGGGCAACTGCAGGGTGACTCCAAAAGGCCCAGTGCCTCACTTCCCCAAGAGTATCTGCTACACAATGCAGGATGAAACACAAGCTCCCACCAGCCCAGCCCACCTTGTCCTCTCCTTTGATCTCCTTCTCGCCATTAGAAAGCTCCTTTAGACACAGGATAGGAACAGGGTGGAAGAACCGAGACTGTATTCTTGAGGCCTTCCCACACACCTCCACTGTGGCCCCACCAATGTACAGGAAAAGGCGGACGCCCAGTAACGAAAGCTTTGACACACAGCGCTGACACTTCTCAACTCACGAACCTCTAACTACTACCTACTTCTTGTTGGGGTCATCCTACCAGGTCGAGGAAATGGGGACGCTGAACAGAGCCACCTCCAGGGGAAAGGACACAGTGGGGGACTGCAGATGTGTGGATGTGATGGGACTTCCCACGGGGGGAAAACTGCAATAACTAGGAAGCCGCTAGAAGTCATAGATCCACAGAAACTAAATCACCAAGTTCACTAGGCATCCTGGGCCCCTAGAGGGAAACGAGAATGGTGGTGGTGTGGAGCTGGCAGGAGAGCCATTCTCGGTCCGGGAGATAGTGCTGGGCAGCCGTGGGTGGAAAGGAAGGAGGCAGGGGCTCATTTGCACTGCTTATGCACTACGTGCGCAGGTGAACAGAATTGGGCACTGCTGAGGTTCCCGAGCCAGACATGGGTGGGGCGGGCCCTCACCTTGGCCTCTTGCACCGCTTCGTCCAGGGGTAAAACGGCGTGCGCGCGGTGCTCACGGGCGCGGTCACACACCACACAAATGGCGCGTCCGTCATCCTGGCAGTAGAGCTTCAGTGGTTCGCCGTGCAGCGCACAGCCAGCCGCCGCCGGGGCCGCGGAATCCTGGGGCCCGTGCTCCCCCGGCTTGGCAGGAGGCAAGCTGAAGCGTCGCAGCAGCGTGGCCACCGCGGCCAGCTGCCGATTGGGCCGCAGCTGGCTGGGGCGAGCAGGCTCGCGGCACTGCGGGCAGGGCAGCGCGCGGAACGCTGCGGCCGCCCCAACCCCAGCGCCGGGGCGCTCCCAGCAGCGCGCAATGCAAGCACGGCAGAAGCTGTGACCGCACTCGACCGATACAGGTTCACGGAAAAGCTCCAGGCAGATGGAGCATGTCGCTTCGCCCTGCAGCTCGGCCGCCAGAGCCAGCGCCTCGGCCCCAGCGCCGGGTCCCGTCCGCGGCCCCACAGCCGCCATTTGTCCACTCCGCGGACCCGGTTTAGTCGGTGCGTGGGAGGGTACAGATTAGCACCGCAAGCGTTTGTGAGTTCCCAGACCGGGACCAGCCTCCGAAAGGCCACTGGGTAAGGAAGGGCGGGACTGACGCTGAGCAGGCGCAACAGTGAAGTGAGCGCTCCGGGCTAGGAGCCAAGAAGTTTGCTCTCTAAATGCAAATCCTGCTAGAGCTAGGGTTATCTAGTACTAGCCCGCGCTTCGCGTCCTTGTGTCTGGGACCACCAGCCCCTCCTCTGCCAGTGACCTCCCGGGCTTCGAAGCACTCTCTTCCGGTCGCCTCCCTCAGTCAGGCCAGTCTTGGGTCTTTCAAAGCCGCTCCAGCCTGACCCAGTCAGCTGCGGGAAATGAGCCGAAACAGGTGGGCGCACAAGCCTGGCTAAGCAGTACTCCGGGCCACTGTCCGAGGCCGACCCAGCACGGCCGGGACAAGGGTCTGGCGCCCGGAGCATGGTGTCAGATTCAGGGAGTGCAGATTCGTGCTGGCCGAGCTAAATTTAGGGTACAAGACCTAGCTCTTGCCGCCCCCGCCCCATGTCTACAGTGGCTTTGTCTGTCTCCACTTCTGTAACTACCATTCCTTCCACTCCCCTCCCTCTTTATTCTCATTTAATATTTGCTTTTGAACAAATAATACATTTACGATCAATTTTCCCACTTTCTCGCCCACTCACAGGGTTTCCAAGGAGCGGCTGGTGAGTTTGAACCGCCAACCATGCGGTTCAAGCCGACCTTGCAGTCCAGTGCATTATCCTGCAGCCACCACACACCTGGTGGCCTGGTCTGGCGATGTGAGTTAATGCGCTGGACTGCAAGGTCGGTTTGAACTACAAGGTCAGTTGTTCATTCTCACCAACTGCTCATGTGAAGCCCTATGTAGGGTCGCTATGCGTCAGAACCGATTCGATAGCACTTAACAACACCACTCCACACCTACCCCCATCCCCCGCCCCAAAAAAAACAATCTAACACACTTTCTCTTATCTCTCCACGTCGTTTCCAAAGCTCCTTTCCAGGGCTGCCAGGATTATTTGTTTCCTGGATTATTTGATTCTGTGGAGGCCACATGGATTGAGATTTTGACCCAATCTTATATGGATTTTGCCCCAATCCTATTTGGAATTTGTTCCAATCCTATATGGAAATGACACATCATCAGATCATGGCCCTACTCTTCCCAACCAGTGGATTCCACGATCCTATTCTAAAGGTTCCTTCAAAGTCTTCACTTCACCTACTACCTTCAGGTGCTTCTTCCTCTGTGCCTTCCAGGACACTTGCCTGTCTTCCCACCTCACTGACCTCCTTACCGGATTCTTAGCCTTTTCCTCCTCTCCCTGCCTTAGCAAAGTCTTGGACCTCTACCTACATTCATTCCATTGTGATTTCTTTTACTTTCTTGGTTTGAAAGATCCTCTTCCTTCTTGTCTTAGTTATCTGGTGTTGCTATAACAGAAATAACACAAGTGGGTGACTTGAGCAAACAGACATTTTATTTTCTCACAGTTAGGAGGCTAGAAGTCTGAATTTAGGGCACTAACTCTAGGTGAATGTCTCTTCAGCTTCTGTTCCTTGGGTCCCTGGTGACCTTCATATAGCATGGTATTTTGTACCAACTCTGTTTGCTCACTTCCTTGTTGAGTCTCTTTTATATCTAAAAAGAGATTGATTTAAGATATACCCTACATTAATGCTGTTTATTAGCATAACAATGAAAACCCATTTCCAAATGGGATATTGTATAACTACTGGTATGAGTTAGGATGTATGACATATTGTGGGGGGAGGGGGACACAATTCAATTTATAACAGTGTTGATGACTCCACAGTACACATCACCAGTCCAGGTGCCTCGAAGATGCCTGGTTCCCACATGCAGCTCCCACACATCTCCCCCTGCGTGCCCTAAGGAGTGTCACTCGTTCACTGTATCAAAAACTGAACTTTACCATTTAAAGCAATTCCATCTCCTCAGAGGCCCAGACCAAAACCCTGAAGTCTTCTGTGACTCTTCTTTTGCACACACCCCACACCCAGTCCTCATCATCTCCTCACTCCCTCACCTCTCATGCCCTTCATTGCGTCATCTCAGATGATTGCAACAGTTCTCTCCCCTGTTGCCCAGATTCCCTGCCCTATCGTCTCCACCCAGCAGCCAGAACAATCCTGTTAAACATTGGTGGTGGTGGTTATGTGCCGACTCATAGCGACCCTATACAGGGTTTCCGAGGCTGTAAATCTTTACAGGAGCAGAATAATATCCCCTTCTGCTCAAAAATCTCCATTGTCTCACACCTCCTTCAAAGTAAAAATGACGTTCTTCCAACTGTCTAAAAGCTCTATCCATTCTGCTTCCGCATCTCCCACAAGCAGGAGTCTTTGCGACCTGCTGCTACAATTCTGCCTTGTTGATTGCTTTTTAAGTGGGGCGTCTTCTACTCTTCTAACGTGTCTGAAAGACTTCTACCTCAGGGCCTTTGCACGGTTGTGCAAAGCCTTTTCTTGGCCCTCTCTTTCCCCAGATACCAACACAGCTCACTCCCCACATCCTTCGAGCTTTGGTTCTTATAAATGATACCAGCCACGACATTTCTATGTAAAGCTTCGGTTTTATCACACTCCCTCCCCCAACGCTAACACTAATTTCTCTCTAGCACTTTACTGCCTCTGGAATAAGAACTCTAAGAGATTGTATTAGTTTTGTCCACAGCTGAATCCCCAGTTTCTAGAATAATTCTTGACACATAGTACGTACTCAGTAAATTTGCATTGATTTAAAACATGGTTCAAAATTCAGATAATACAAAGCGATTCACAGTAAAATAATAATAATAATAAATAAAAATCGCTTAAATTCAGTTCCCTCCCAGTCCCCAGCAATCTACTTTCAACAGAGTTCTAGTTTATTTTATGCAAATATTGTATTTATTGCCATCCCTTTTAAAAAACAAAATATGGCAAGCTGCATTCGTGCTTTGCTTTTTTCGGGTTCATCATGATCATCGTGCCTGATAACTTCTTTTTCATTTTCCCACCACTGGCCCCAAGTGCTTACCATGGCCAGCTCACCTTTCCGGGCATCATTTAATCGAGATCTGCTTGCGCTGAGTCAGAGAAAGACCCTCTAATAGCAAGAAGTAGTATTTTTCCAATCAATTTTTCTTTCGCCCAGCCTCACCCTGAACTATGCAATGGCCAAGAGAAAAGTTAAAGAGCGCCAAGCGTGGTGGGGATGTAGCTCAGTGGTAGAGCGCATGCTTTGCATGTATGAGGCCCCGGGTTCGATCCCCGGCATCTCCAGCGCTTGTGTGCGTTTTTGTTTTTCGTCCAAATTTCTAAACGTAGAGCTTACACAGACCGTATAAGAAAAATGCCAGAAAGGGTACTATACTCAACAAATAAAAAGATCTGCAGAAATTCTAGCTCTTCTGTAAACTTTTAAAACTGACACTAGACAGCCGACTCAAAATCTGTGATGGTGAACACACTAGTGACAATAGGGTGTGTTTTTCTTTCTCCTCATTTCATTCTTGTGCTTCGCGCGTATGGAAAAGTAGGATAGAACAAACAGAAGACGATGGAAGCGAGAGGAATGCTCAGACACTGACGGCAGAACTTGGATTTCTCGGACTGCCAAAATCCCTCAGGGGCTCGGTTGTACTACCTACACACAGTTTTCTAGCTAGGAGCAGGGGAGGGAGGGCGAACAAACTAATTTATCTTTGAATGAGTAAATTTTAAAGCTCTACTTGTAGGCGCCCGGCTAGCTCAGTCGGTAGAGCATGAGACTCTTAATCTCAGGGTCGTGGGTTCGAGCCCCACGTTGGGCGAGTCAGTTTTTTGTTAATTTCGTTTAATTGGTGCCTGACAAAACTCTAAGAAAAAATTTTAAATGCTAACTAACGTGGAAGCTTCACGAAGGTGATGTTCAATCAAACGTTTTGTGTGTATCTGAGTATTCATTTTCCACTAACAACGTGATCATTTTAACATATTTTGAATAGGAAATACATTATATGGTTAAAAAATGGAATTATATATAGAAATAATCAGAGACAATCACCTTTCAGCCTCGTCCCATAGGTAACACTTTTATATCTTTGTATTAAACATTTCAAACTTTTTAATGCAAATATGTTCTTTTCCTCTATTTTACAAAGTACAAAAAAACAAAAATAGTACTTACAGCCGTTATATTTTGGAGCTCTTTCACTCTCAAAACATAGAAAATTTTGTCAATGCAGCTGCATAATAATCTGGTGTAGATGAATCATAGTTTAACAGATGTTTTGTTTTGTTTTGCTTTGCTTAGTTTCCAATCGTGTGTTATTGCAATCATTGCTTTAATTGATAGGCATGTGGGTGGCGATGGTTATTATCATTGGAATCTGTTCGGCTCTTCTTGTTGTTAAGTGCTCCAGTCGATTCTGACCCATAGCGACCCTATATAGTTTCAACCGCCGACTAGATAGCCTCCTCTTTTCTTCCATGGAGTAGCTAGTAGTTTTGAACTGCTGACCTTGTAGTTAGCAGACCTACTCATATTCCACTCTGATACCAGAAATCCGCAATATTGTTGTTGTTAAGTGCAGTCTAGTCGGTTCCGACCCAGCGACCCTGTATAGAGTTTCCAAGGAGCAGTTGGTGAACCTGAGCCGCCCACCTTGTGGTTCAACCCGACTTTGCAGTCCAGCGCACTAGGGCTCTTAATAGGCATGTAGCCTTTGTCATTTTGCATTTATAGGACAGTGTCTAGGTATAACAGAAACACCACAAATGGATGAGTATCATTGCTCATGTCAGACGAATCTTGGCTGAAAGCAGAGAATACCAGAAAGACGTTTACTTAAGCTTTACTGACTATGTATAACATTGCATAGAACGGGTGTTCCAGAACACTTCATTGTTATCATAATTAAAGAGTACAAAGAGTAAGAATAAGAGGCAAGTTAGTACAAGGAGGT